ATGTTTTTAGGCTATAGTGGGGTAGCACATATGGGGTACAGCTTTCTAGGGTTGTATTTGTACCCAACTCTGACTTAGTCATTTCATTCCTGTTCGCTTATTCTCACAATCGTGAGTTCGATTGTTGGCGAAAACGTTTGCGATACAGCGATGACAATTGCGAATTGTCGGGGCCTATATCGAGCGGTGCAAAACTAGCGAGACCGACGCACGACAAATCGAACGACTTAGGGTGAAAGCGCGCGTCATGGCGAAAATTGCAACAGAATCAGAATCGATCGTGTATTTGCAGCAGTCGCAAAACTTTCCCAAGGCCCAAGAAATTCGAGCCCCCAACACCTTTGATGGGGAAATCGACGCTAGGCACTGGCTTTTGGCGATCGAAATTTATTTCGCGGCCATTGGATGGACAGCACCAGCACTCAACAGAAACAGAATTAAGTTTGCAGCAACACTTCTGCGCGGACCAGCAATTGAATGGATAAGCGGAAGCGGTTTATTAAACCAAGTTGAAGCGACGTGGCAGCAGTTCCATGAAGGATTACCACGAGGTTTTGAGCCGATTAATGCAGCGTTAATCGCCCGCGACAAAATGCATCGTCATCGACAAATCGGGAGCGTCACAAACTACACACAACAAATGGAGGAATTGTTCAACCGCATCCCCGACGTCACGGAAGGCGAAAAAAATAGAGCATTCATCGCGGGGCTGAAAAAAGAAACACGACAACATGTTGCGGCCGCAAATTGGAGCAGCTACAACGACGTCGTTTCGGTAGCAGAACGTTTCGACGTAACCACGATCAGAACACGACGACTTCATGGACGAGCTAAACAACATGGAGGACGCTTGGCTACCCCCATGTGCGTCGACCCGATGGAACTCGATCGAATCGACGCGAAGGCAAGACCAAAGAAGAACAAATCTAAGTGTTCTTTCTGCGACAAGCCCGGACATCGACTCATCGATTGTGATGAAATGAGAACTGCACATTTAGTGCTTAGGGCCGCAGTAGTGGAGCAAAGTTAATGCGAATATTGGAGGATCGTGGAGTAAATTCTTCAACCCACGAACAGACTCTACCAGGGAAAATCGCCGAGGGAAATAAAATCTCCACGACACAAGACCCTGCTGGACCCGGACAACTCCAAAAAGGCCTTGTAAAAAGTAAGCACCCCTTAAAGATATCATACAAGGATGCTTTACTTAGGAAAAACTCCCTTGGGTCTACGGCCTTGGTGAAATCACGAGAGAGGCTCCAGAAGAAAAAAAAGTACCGGTACGACAACTACAGCGGCTGCGCATGGGGAACCAACAACGGAGCGTGGAAGATCGACCTTCCAACGACGACATCGTCCTCTCTGAAAAACCAGCCCATGTCGACCAACCGGTCCCCACGGAAGAAGTCGGTGGCGCTGAAGGAGCTCAAGAGGGAGCTGGAGGTCAACATGAAGCTGCGACGACCTCAAACCTCCTCTACAGATGCATTTACAACATCTGAAACATCAACGATATCTACCCCATCTATGAATTCTACTACGAGCTCGAGAACAACATCGTCTGTTAGAATCACTGAACAGGAATGAATGAACTAGCAGTGAAATGAGTACAAGTACCTAACCCTAGAATTGTGTACCCCCTATAGGCTAACCCACTGTAGCCTAAACTAATACAATATATATAATGTTTGACACACCCCCATAGGCAAAGTGGGGGAGAACTAGGGGTCACAAGACCAGTCAAGGCAAAGCAAGGCAAAACAAGCTCAGGGTGGATCTCAAGGATACCACACAAATTCCGAGCACAAGCAAGTGGTCACAAGACCAGTTCACATGCAGGTTTATAATAGAGCAAAAGGTACAATGATCACAACCTAACAAGAGTAAACATGCAGGTATATATACAGAGATCACAGTACAAACAGACTCAAGAAGTAAGCAAGTGAGGTCCAGTAGACACAAGGCCTAGAAGAGTGCAAAAGCGCTGATGGTCACAAGGCTGAAGCGCCTTGGTGAACACATCAGCAGTGTTGGCCTCAGAGGCCACGTAACGCAGGCGAAGCTGACCACGCTGCTGCAGCTCTCAAGCAAGGAAGTAACGCAGAGCAATGTGCTTCGTCCTGTGCTCCAGTCTGTGCTCCTCACACAAGACAAAGGCTGCCTTGTTGTCGACGTACAGCACTGGAGGAGAACGAGGCTGCTCTCCAAGGTCGGTCAGCAAGTAGGTGAGCCAGCGTAGCTCCTGGGCCGCCATGGCTGTGGCGTAGATCTCAGCCTCACAACTGGAGCTGAGAACAGAAGAAGAGTGAGTAGAACGCCAAGAAACAGAACCAGAGCCAAGACTGAAGGAGTAACCCTGAGACGACCGCTGAGTAGCATGGTCGTCTGCCCAAGAAGCGTCTGAGTGCCAAGTCAGAACAACTGGGACTCGCCCTCCAAGCACTAGCCCCATGCCCGACGTACTGCACAAGTAGCGCAACACCCTCTTAGCTGCATCCATGTGCTCCTTCCGGTGACGGCCGGGAGCGACATAGCGTGCAAGAATGCTGAGAGGGTATGCAAGGTCTGGTCGAGTGCAGGTCATCAGGTACATGAGGCAACCCACAAGCTCTGGATACGGGCCACTCGGCTCTACAGACTCATCCGAAGGCAGAGCTGAGAGCGAGTGACCGGTAGGCAGAGGAGTGGGCTGAGGCGAGGAGTACGTGAAGCGAAAGCGCTGAAGGACCTGCTGCACTCTGTGTGACTGAGTCAAGGTGATGGTGCGGCGTGCTCTGTCCCGGGTGATCTGCAAGCCAAGATAGCTTGTCAGTTCACCCAGGTCTGTGCACATGTGTCTCTTCTACAGCTCCGACTTCACGTGGGCGAGTGCCACAGTGTCAGCAGTAGCAAAGACCAAGTCGTCGACGTACAGAAGGATGTAGAACGGCGGCAGTGAAGTGTCGGTGCGTAGAAACAGCGACGGGTCAGCAGTAGAAGGCGCAAACCCAAGAGCCGCGAGCGTAGTCCTTAGTGTGTCGTGCCACTCACGAGGCGCCTGGCGGAGACCGTAGACTGGCCGTCGGAGGCTTAACTGGGTACCAGGAGGGAACGACCCAGTGAAGCCAAGTGGACGGCGCAGCCAGATCTCCTCGTGCAGGCTGCCCTGCAGGAAAGCAGTGCTGAAGTCAAGCGAGTGGAGCTCGTAGTCACGCTGAGCGGCGACGTGCAGCAGAACCCGAAGAGTGGTCATCTTTGGGGTCGAGGAGAAGGTCTGGAAGAAGTCAACTCCCTCTCGCTGAGTGAAGCCTCGTGCAACGTAACGCGCCTTGAAGACAGGCGGAGAGCCCGGCGGCCGCTTCACCCTGAAAATCCACATGCCACTGACGATGTTCGCCCCAGGTGGGGGAACCTCGTCGACGTAGGTGCCTGTGGACTTCCAGGAAGCCATCTCTGTGTCCATGGCTGACTGTCACTGAGAGGAGTAGGGACCGGCCATCGCCTCTGCGTAAGAGCGTCGGGTCGGGATGTGTGGTGCATCCGGGTCTCCCTCAGGGGCAACAAGCATGGACACGAGATGGGGCAAAGCGGCAGCAAAGCACTCAAACTCCTCCCACCTGTCCTCAAGGACGTCAGTGCCAAGAGCACACTCACCCCCGACGGACGGAGGACAGACAGACTCAGACTCAGCAACTAGGCTAGCAGCGTAGTCTAGACGGTAGCGAGCAGCAAAGTCGACAAGCTCAGCAACTAAGGCAGACGCAGCAGCAGACTCAAAGGAAGGGTCAGTGACAACAGTAGCCAGGAGACGCGTGCAAGTAGGGCTAGAAGCACGAAGAGAGTCTGACCCAAGGTCAGCAAGAGCAGGAAGAGAGGAAGCAGGAGGAGACGGCAGTGGGACACGCTGTGGAGCAGTGGACGGACGAAGCGCCATCCGGTGAGTGCCTGGGACAGCAGGAAGACGCTGACGCTGGACTCGACTACTAGAGAGAGCAGTGCGGACAGGCGACTCAGGACGAGACTCAGGCAACGCAGGACGAGACGCAGGCTCACGCCGCTCAGTAAGACCTCCAGTCGGACCAGTGTAAGGAGCAGGACCAGGGAGAGAGGAGGCAGACGGTAACGCCGAATGCAGCTGGACAGGCGGAGGACACGATAAGGAGGGAGGAGGAAAAGGAGGAGGAAGCTGACCAAGAACCTGCTGAAGGAGCGGAACAAAGTATGGCCGAGACCGAGCAGCGACACCAGAGCCAGCACGGACACCCGCACCAGGGTCCGCAGCACCAGCAGCAGCTCTAGCGCCCATGTCCTCAGCACCAGCGGCGGCTCCAACGCCCGGGTCCTCAGCACCAGTAGCAGCTCCAACGCTTGGGTCCACATCACCAGCGGCAGCTCCAACGCCTGGGTCCTCAGCACCAGCAGCAGCTCCAACGCCCGGGTCCTCAGCACCAGCAGTGGCTCCAACGCCCGGGTCCTCAGCACCAGCAGCAGCTCCAACGCCCGGGTCCTCAGCACCAGTAGCAGCTCCAACGCCCGGGTCCTCAGCACCAGCAGCAGCTCCAACAGCAGCGGGGTCCGTAACATGAGGCACGCCACTCCGAAGAGTGCAGCGCCGCTCGTACCACTCACGGATCCGCTCGCGGGAGGGGAGCTCCCGAACGGGAGAAGAAGCACTAGCACCAGTCCCAGTAGTACGTCCGGCTCGAGCGGTACCTCTCCGGAGGCTGCAGTACTCTAAGTACCACGCACGCAGCTGCTCCGAGGAGAGGGCTCCTCCAGGTGCAGGACTCCCAGGCCTAGTACCTCCAGACTCAGAACCCCCAGACTTCGGACTCCGCAGCTCAGCACCAGAAGGCTCCACACCCCCAAGCTCAACACCCTCAAGCTCCACACCCCTAGGCTCCACACCCCCAGGCTCCACACCCTCAGGCTCCACACCCCCAGGCTCCACACTCCCAGGCTCAGCACCCCCAGGCTCAGCACCCCCAGCAGGACGAGAGTCGACAGCTACCTCAACAGGCTCAACCGGGTCTACCTGAGACACACCTGAGGGAGCGGCACCCTGAGGGGGGAGGGGGTCTGCAACAGCAGCACCTGGCGCGAGGAAGAGAGGCGGGGGGGGGGAGCGGGGCAGTGCGGTAGGGGAAGAGGCGGTAGTAGGGGACGGACTTGTCAAAAGTGACGTCCTCGGAGGGCAAGACTCGGCGCGAGGTGGCGTGGTAAAACTGCCAACTAGACGCGTCCGGCACAAAGCCGAGACCCCCAGACCCGGAATCCCGAGGAAGACGCAGGGAACAGCACGGGAGGAGAGCTTGTCGGTAGACGAATCGCGGACAAAAGCTCGAGACCCCCAGACCCGGAATCCCGACGCATCGCCAACCTCCCCCGTCCACAGCAGCGTGGGCGAGGTCTCCGGCAAGGAGACACGGGGCCAGAGGTTGAGCTGATGCGCAGCATACCGTACCGCAAACGGCCACAGAAAGTGGGGGGGCAGCCGCATGGATCAAGGAGGTACGGGCGACCTCCATGACCAGGCCAATGCGGCGCTCCACAACCCCATTCTGCTGTGGAGAAGCCGGAAGCGTGAACGACTGCTCAATGCCGTGCTCAGCACAGTAGGCTGCCAAGAGGTCGGAGGAGAACTCACCACCTCTGTCAGAGTGCAAGCGTAGGACAGGAAAGTCTGAGTGAAAACGCTCGCTGAGCTGGAGGCGGGCTCTGCGGATCCAAGGGATCAAGACATCAGGGACCTCACCCTTGGTGCGCAAGGGGAAGACCGAGGTGTAGCGCGAGTAGTCATCAACAACTATCAGGAAGTACCTCTCCTGACCCTGACCACGGACGCGGGCTGGGCCCCACACGTCCATGTGGAGTGTCTGCAAGGAAGCAGTCGTCGGGGGGAACGAGGAGGAGTGAGGAGCGGCGCGCTGCCGTCCCTCGACACAGGGGAGACAGGTAGGAGCAGGCGAGGGTGGGAGGGCAGGAAGGACCCTGGGCAGGCCAGAGACAAGGTACCGGGAGTGCATGGCACGAAGCCGCTGCACAGACGGGTGGCCAAGGCGGTGGTGCCAGAGGACAGTCTCGTGTGCCAAAGAGCGACACGAGCAGGGGGCGGACAGCTGACCTGACGCGGACGCGGACGCAGTCGCAGCAACCTGAGGGGACTCAGTAGTCAGTGTGTACAGGTCCGACCCCGGCTGCCGAGTGAAGGTAGCCAAGTGACGGCCCGTACGAGCACACGTGCAGTGTGTCACGCGCTCGTAGGCAGGGGTGAACTGGTGAACACCCCCGTCCTGGAGTGCACATCCTGCCACCAAGTTCGTAGAGAACGAGGGGAGGTGGAGACCTGACAGTGTGCCCGACCTGACCGCAGGGCAAGGAAGGACAGTGGAAGAGGTCGCAATGACCAGACCCCCAGAGGGGTCAGCAAGGGAGACAGCAACTGGCCGAGCAAGCGGCTCAAGGGCAGTGCGGTCACGAAAGAAGCAGCGAGAAGCACCTGAGTCCAGTGTGAAGGTGTGCAGTGCGGCAGTCGACGCAGTACCAAGGGGGGGAGACACACGAGCACCTAGAGCAGCAGCCTCACCAGCACCTGGGGTAGCCGACACGCGAGTACCTGGAGCGGCTGACGCACTGGCCCTAATGCCTGGGTCGGGCGGTACACACAAGTACTCAGCACCCTCTCCACTAGTAGACATCACATACATGGCAAATACAATAGCATCAAAGTCTAGAGCATAGATATCAATCCCCTTCTTCAGGAGATCAAGCCAGCGGGGCAGCTCAATGGCCTGAGGGAACTGAACACGCCAAGCGTCGTCGAGACGAGAGAAGCAGCGCTGTGTGGCGTGCGGTCGTCCACACTGCTGACCAGTGCGGTCACCAGTGCGAATGACGTACGTGCAGCTAAGACCACCCCCACCCCCGTGCTGAGAGTACTACTCACGGACCTACTGGGGCGACGGAGTGTGCTGCTGGCCGTGGCCACCGCCAGTGCCTCCACGGCCACCACCACCGCTGCCACCTCCTCGACCACCCCAACCCCTGCCGCCACCTCGTCCACCGCCACCCCAACCGCTGCCTCCACTCCTGCCACCTCCCCCGCCGCTGCCGCCACCACCCCCACCGCTACCACTCGCCCCTCCAGCCGAGCCACCACCCCCACTGCCTCCACCGCCCCCACCGCCGCCTCCCCCGCCGTCACCGCCACCACCCTTGCCCCCTTTGCCCTTGCCGCTGCGGCGTCCGCTGGAGGCAGACGCAGCGCCGACCTTCTCAGTACCAAGAAGGTCGACAGTAGCAGCAGAGGCGACAGAGGGAAGAAGGGGGGAAGGAGAACACCCCTCAAAGAACGGGGTACGGGGGTCGCCACGAGAGGCACCTACAGCGACTATGCTAGTCTCAGCTGCAAGTAGCTCCTTCTCGAGGAGGGCAATGGTGAGCTCAGTGGGGCAACGAGCTATGAAGTGGTCCCTGACAGCACGCAGTGTGTTAGGGAGGCGGGTGACTAGGTGGTAGAGAGTGAGCCAGAGTGGAGGGGGGTGCGTGGCAAGGAACTCAGCAGGCATGGCGGCACGGAAGCGGGCCTCACTAGTACGGAGGTGCGTGATGAGGTCAGCGACTGTGTGAAAGGAGGCCAGGTCGGGAAACAGGTAGGGGAGGGAGAGACGGCCTAGTGCGGCAGAGGCAGGTGAGGAGTAGCGAGCAACTATAGCTGTGTACAGTGCCTCTGCAGTCTTGTGCTGACCAAAGTGCTCGCGTTCGTCTATCGGCAGGGAGTTGCGAATGGCGAAGCGAGCGTGGGCATCACGAGTCTGCCACTGTGAGCGAGCAGTGCTGTCAGCAGTAGCAGAAGGGGCTGTGACATGGCCTAGGGCGTGATCGTACAGTGAGATGTCATCCTTGGCTGTGAGCTGTAGGTAGAGGTGCAGGTCATCGAGCCAGGTGTCAAACTTCACAGGGAGCATCGAACACGAGAACCTGTGGGCTAGCCATAGGAACAGTAGAAATAGCAGCAGCAGCAGTAGGAGAAGCAGGTAGGATGAACCAGGTAGGGCAGGGCGGCGCGGCTCGGTTCAGGTCGGGTCGCGGCTCGGCTGGGTGGCGCGGCTCAGCTCGGGGCGCGCGGCTCAGCTCGGGGCGCGCGGCTCTGGTCGCGCGGCTCGGGTCACGGCGGGGACGGGCCGCCCGCTCTCCCTCGTGTGCTGCAGCGGGAACGGGCCGCCTGGGGCCTCTAGGTGGTGGGCACGGGTCGGCGAGGTCGGCACGGGGCCGGTTGGGGCCCTAGAGGGGCGAGCGCGGGGCCGATCGGGGCCTGAGCGGGGCTAGCGCGGGGCCAAACGGGGCTAGTAAGGGGCCGACGGGGCCTGAACGGGGCTAGCACGGGGTCGACGGGGCCTGAAACGGGGCCGACGGGGCCTGAAACGGGGCTAGCGCGGGCCAGATCGGGGCCTGAATGGGGCTAGCGCGGGGCCGACGGGGCCTGAGAGGGGCTAGCGCGAGGCCGACGGGGCCTGAAACGGGGCTAGCGCGGGCCGACGGGGCCTGAGAGGGGCTAGTGCGGGGCCGACGGGGCCTGAAACGGGGCCAACGGGGCCTGAAACGGGGCTAGCGCGCGCCGACGGGGCCTGAGAGGGGCTAGCGCGGGGCCGACAGGGTCTGAAACGGGGCCAACGGGGCCTGAAACGGGGCTAGGGCGGGCCGACGGGGCCTGAGAGGGGCTAGCGCGGGGCCGACGGGGCCTGAAACGGGGCCGACGGGGCCTGAACGGGGCTAGCGCGGGGCCTGAACGGGGCCTTAAAGGGGCCGACGGGGCCTGAACGGGGCCGCTAGGGAGAGCGGGCGTGGGGCCGACGGGGCCTGAACGGGGCTAGCGTGGGGCCGTCAAGAGGGGCCTCTAGGGGCGTGACACGCCGAGGCGCCCTAGGGCACAGGTAGGTAGGTAGGTAGGTAGTTACGTAGTGGTGGGCCCTTAGAAAATTTCGGTCCTAGGAAGGACCTGCTCTATACCATGTTAGAACCACTGAACAGGAATGAATGAACTAGCAGTGAAATGAGTACAAGTACCTAACCCTAGAATTGTGTACCCCCTATAGGCTAACCCAGTGTAGCCTAAACTAACACAACATATATAATGTTTGACATCGTCGACGACAACAAAAAATCATGGCAATAGGGAACGGCAGGACCGGCCATTTGCCACCCCGGGAGAAAACACAGAGCTATGGGAAATGCCCTATCATCCAATCAACGAGACGATCAACGGGTACAACGAGCAACGCCAACCACTTTTGCTCGAGGTGATCTGCAATGGACGACGCCTCCAAGCACTCGTGGACAGTGGAGCATCCCATTCAGTATGCAACAAGGCAACTCTCAAATGCATCAATAAGAAGTACGCGCCTTCAAACTTCCAAGCTACGATGGTTGATGAAAGCAAATTACAAGTCTACGGCGAAGCAGCGTTACACCTGCAGATGGGTCCTCTTTGATGGAAATCGACCCTACCCGTCACCAACATCAAAGGGCTAGACTTGATTATTGGGAGAGATTTTTAGAAGAAGTTCAACCCCGTGATCAACTGTGTGAGGATCTAGGATCGAGCTCAAAAAAGAGAATGGTGGTGATCAAGTCATGTGCAGCTTGGACATGTGCCGGTGTGGTTGGCTGCTGTGGTGTAAGTGGTTCCCGTCCGTAACACAGGAAGAAAAGAGTTTTCCCTGTGACCGCATGTGATGCGTTGTTGTAAGCAAACTCTAGGGTCGGTAACTGTGTGTCCCAGTGGCTGACGTCGTCTTTGCAAGCTGTGCGCAGTAACTGTTCAACCACCAGATTGAGTCGCTCTTTCTGTCCGTCAGTCTGTGGGTGGTATGCAAAGGACATCGCAAGTTTGGTCCCCAATGATCCCATGAGCTCCTTCCTGAACTTACTGGTAGATTTGGGGTCTCTGTCAGAGATGAGTGTAGCGGAGATGCCGTGGATGGTGATGATGTGGTCAAAGAAGAGGCGAGCAATTGCTTCAGCTGTAGCTGTGGCGTTGGTCGGGATGAAGTGACCCATTTTGGAGAATTCATCAATCACTACGAGGATGGAATCCTGTCCCCATGAGGTCGAAGGAAGTCCTGTGATGAAGTCGAGACTAACGACCTGCCATGGCTGCTCCGGTACGGGTAGAGGCTGAAGTAACCCTGCTTCTTTCTCCTTGCTGCTCTTCATCCGCTTGCACGTGTCGCAAGAGGTGACGAACTGCTGCACGTCTGCTGCCATCCCGGACCAGGAGTAATTTTTTGCTATCCTTGCTAACGTCTTGTTGCTCCCGAAATGTCCCGCGTAAGGTACGTTGTGAAACTCCTCCAATAGGATCTGCCGTAGCGGGGCGTAATTCGGTATCCAAATCTTTCCTGAACCCTTCCTTACAGCAGTCTTTCTCCCACTGTAATAGCTTCTTGGTGTGTGTTGTAGCGATCTCTGCGTCCACGGAGTATCCGTGTTGGAATGGACCCTTGAGCAGAGGGTTCATCCCGTCGAGCTGGATGCCTGCTACATGTCCGGGGCAGTTCAATGCGTCTGCCTTGTTGTGTAGCCCGGGTTTGTAGACGATGTCGTAGTGGAAGTGAGTTTCCAAGAAGTCCACCCACCGCACCTGTCGTCGTGAGAGCGTCGGCTGCGACTCCAGGTATTTGAGACTGCAGTGGTCAGTAACCCTCTAGGTAACACCTCCACGCCTTGAAGGCTATGACTATCGCTAAGGCTTCCTTGTCATGGATGGGGTAGTTCAGTTCTGCTCCGTGTAGCTTCTTACTGAGGTAGGCGATGGGCTGCAAACCGCGTCCGTGATCCTGCATCAGTACTGCTCCGACTGCTTGGTCACTAGCGTTCTGCTTCTACCACATAGTCATTGTCTAGATCTGGTAGGATGAGTACTGGCGCTTTAGTTAGTAATGTTTGTAGCTGCTCCATGGCTTGCTGATTAGGCGTATCCCATTTGTCGGGCGTATCCCATTTGTAGGGCGTATCCTTTTTCAGTAGGTCGGTCAGTGGCGCTTCTATCTTAGCATACTACGGCACGAACATGTTGTAGTAGTTGGCGAAGCCTAGGAACTGCTGCAACTCCTTTACGTTCTCCGGAACTTTCCACTTCTTGACGGCTTTGATCTTCTGCGGATCCACGTGTACGCCCTCGGCACTCACCATGTGCCCGAGAAACTGCACCTTCTTCAGTGCGAAGTCGCTATTCGACAGCTTCACGCAGAACTTGTTCTTCCGCAGGATCTCGAACACCTTCCGTAGATGCTCCACGTGCTCCTTCATGTTTTTGGAGTAGATGAGGATATCCTCCAGGTACACTACTACGCACTTGTCCAACAAGGGCCGTAGGATGTGGTTCATCTCCGCCTGAAACGTTCCTGGTGTGTTACATAGTCCGAAAAGCATCACTAATTATTCGTAGGAGCCGTATCTGGTACTGAACGCCGTCTTGTGGACCGAGTTGTCTGCCATCTTAATCTGCCAGTAACCCGACCGTAGGTCCAGCCTCGAAAAGACTGTTGCCCCACGCAGTTGGTCTAGTAGGTCATCTATGCGCGGTATGGGGTATTTGTTTTTAAATGTCTGTTTGTTCAGTGCGCGATAGTCGATGCACATCCGTAGACTGCCATCTGGTTTTGGAGTAAGGAGAACTGGTGCACCGTAGGGAGAGGTGGATGGGCGGATCAGTTGTCTGTCTAGTAGATATTCGATCTGTTTCTTAATGTCTGTCAGTTTGGTCGGACTCAATCGGTATGGTGCACGTGAGACGGGTTTCGCACCTGGTTCCTCCACGATCTCGTGCTCGTGGGTGCATGCAGGAGGTACGCCTGCAGGTAGGTTGTCGGGCATGATATCCTTGTACTGCTCCAAGACCTCCTTCACTGCTGCAGGTAGTTCTACGTTCGGCTTCTCCTCCTCTGCTGCTGCCATAACTAGTGCTAGGTATCCCGTGTTACTCTCGTTCACCGTCTATTCAAACCGTGCCAGTGTCGTTTCAAGAACGCTCCCTGTATCCGTCCAGCTTCGCAGCTCCAATCGTTTCCCGTTGTTGTAGATTCACGCTTTCCTGTTGACCCAATCGATCTCGGGGTTGAATCGTTTCAAGAAATCTCGCCCCACGATGAAACCCTTGATCTTCGTGATCGGCAACGTCGGCTTCCACCTCAGCGCCCCTATGTGCAGCTGCAATGATGCCTCGCTGTGGATGGGAAGTTTCGTACCGTCCACCATCGTTGCCGTGAACTTGGTCTCCTCCGAAGATTCTCCAATTTTCTCCAACGTCCCGAGGTCGCACACCGAGTGGGACGCACCACTGTCTACCAGTGCCTGGAGGCGTCGGCCGTTGCAGATTACCTCGAATAGTAGTGGTTGTTGCTGCTCCGAGAAACTGTAGATGGTCTCGCTTATAGGATCGTAGGGTACGTCGAATAGATCATCCCCCGGTCCTGCTCTCGAAGCTGCTGACTCCATATAAGTTTTCAACTGAGTAGGGATATAAGGATTTATCCAAGGCCGATTCAGCTTTGTCTTGGCCTGGAACCTTCCCTTAAACCTTTGCAGCTGCGTAGGCTTCACCTGTGGGCAATGGGGAGCCTTAACACCGTGCTGTGGGGAGAGAATATTAACTCCTTGGAATGCACGACCCTTTTCAACGCTCTGGAGTGGTTTGCCCAACTTCTCAAGTACCTGAATAATGTTTAAAGGCTTTTTCATTGCCTCAAAATCTCCCCTGAATTTTTTAAAGGCTTGGAAACCTTGAGAGAGAATATTCTTACTCTCGGGGGTGTTCGGCTAGAGTTTCCCGGTCGGTGTAGAGTCTTGTTTCACAGAGCCTCCATTTGTCTCGGCGATTTCACCAGTTGCCGCCCGGTCGTGGCGTTTTAAATTTGCGCCATCGTGTCCTCCATTTTTCGCCATCGTGGATGTCGCACTGTTGTTGCCCTGCCGCTCCTCTCGTGCCTTCTTCAATTTCCAACACGCCAAGAATCGATGTCCTGCTGCGCCACAAAATTCGCAGTTCCCATACTTTGTCGACCGCTGCTTCGCTCGATCTTGTCGATATCCATCGGGTCGGCGGTCGTGGGTGGTGCCAATCGCTTCGTTCCAAATGATCGGTTCGGCACGAGGCGTCGTGTCTCCGGTTCACATCGCATCAGTGCATCGAATCTCTCTGCTGCACACACCATGTCGCGGTAGTTGGTGTAGTTCGCGGCAATCACCTGTCGCCGGACTTCCATTTTTAACCCCTCAGTATACGCTTGGATTTTTTCCCCTTTGGTCAGGTCGGTAATTTGGTTGAAGAGGCTCTCCATCTGCTACGTATACTGTGTTACACTGCCGAACTGTTTATGCCAATGAATCTGCTGCCGCGCTATGTAGCTAGAGTTGATTGGTTCGAAACATTGAATTAAAGCTTCCTGAAACTGCGTCCATCTCCTCTCGCGTCGGACCTCGTTGCCATTGTTGAGAAAATGAACGAGAATGGATTGACTAAGGGAAATTTGGGTACAACTACAAACCCTAGAAAGTCGTACCCCATATGTGCTACCCCACTATAGCCTACAACACCTATGTCATATAAATCTGACACACCCCCATTGGCAAAGTGTGGGAGAACAAGGGGTCACAAGACCAGTTAAGCAAAGCAAAGCAAGCTCAGGGTGGATCACAAAGTCACCACACATTCCGAGCACAAGTTCAAGGCTACAAGGCCAGTTCACATGCAGGATTACACATATATAAAAAAGGCTAGACAAGCAAGAGCAGATGTATATAAATATGTAACAGTACAAACAAGGTCAAGTGGTGAGCAAGTGAGGCAAGGCAGGCACAAGACCAAGCTGAGTACAGAAGCGCTGATGATAACAAGGCGCAAGCGCCTTGGTGAAGATATCAGCAGTGTTGGCCTCAGAGGCCACGTACGCAAGGCGCAGCTGACCACGCTACTGTAGCTCACGAGCAAGGAAGTAGCGAAGAGCAATGTGCTTCATTCTGTGCTCCAATCTCTGCTCCCGACACAAGGCCAGCATGGCCTTGTTGTCTAAGTACAGCACTAGAGGAGAACGAGGCGGCTCTCCGGAGTCAGTCAGCAGGTAGGTGAGCCAGCGAAGCTCCTGTGCAGCCATGGCTCCTGCGTAGATCTCAGCCTCACAACTGGAGCCGAGAACAGAAGACGAGCGGGTAGCCCGCCACGAAACAGAGCCGGAACCAAGGCTGAAGGTGTAACCCTGTGACGACCGCTGCGTAGCCTGGTCGTCAGCCCAAGAAGCGTCTGCGTGCCCAGTGAGGACCACTGGACTCTGCCCTCCAAGCACAAGCCCCATGCCCGACGTACTGCACAAGTAGCGCAACACCCTCTTTGCTGCAGCCATGTGCTCTCGTCTATGTCTCCCAGGAGCAACATAGCGTGCCAAGATGCTAAGAGGGTATGCAAGGTCAGGTCGTGTGCAGGTCATCAGGTACATGAGGCAGCCAACAAGCTCTGGGTACGGGCCACTCGGCTCTACGGACTCATTCGAAGGCAGAGCTGAGAGCGAGTGGCGAGTAGGCAGAGGAGTGGCCTGAGGCGAGGAGTACGTGAAGCCGAAGCACTGAAGGACCTGCTGCACCATGTGTGACTGAGTTAGGGTAATGGTGCGGCGTGCTCTGTCCCGGGTGATCTGCAGGCCAAGGTAGCTGCGCAGTTCACCCAGGTCTGTGCACATGTGTCTCTTCTGCAGCTCCGACTTCACGTGGGCGAGTCCAGCAGCGTCAGCTGTGGCAAAGACCAAGTCGTCGACGTATCTCAAGATGTAGAACAGCGGCATAGAAGTGTCGGTGCGCAGAAACAGTTACGGTTCGGCAGTAGGGGGAGCAAACCCAAGAGCCGCAAGTGTAGTCCTAAGTGTGTTGTGCCACTCACGCGGTGCCTGGCGGAGACCGTAGACTGGCTGCCGGAGGCTCCACTGGGTGCCAGGAGGAAAAGACCCAGTGAAGCCAGGTGGGCGGCGCAGCCAGATCTCCTCGTGCAGGCTACCCTGCAAGAAAGCAGTGCTTAAGTCAAGGGAGTGAAGCTCGTAGTCACGGTGAGCGGCTGTGTGCAGCAGTACCCAAAGCGTGGTCATCTTCGGGGTGGGAGAGAAGGTCTGAAAGTAGTCAACTCCCTGCCGTTGACTGAAGCCACGAACCACGTAACGCGCCTTGAAGACAGGCGGAGAACCCGGCGGCCGCTTCACCCTGAAAATCCACATGCCACTGACGATGTTCGCCCGAGGCGGGGGAACCTCGTCAACGTAGCTGCCTGTGGACTTCCGGGAAGCTATCTCTGTATCGATAGCTGCTTGCCAGTGAGAGGAGTAGGGACCCTCTATCGCCTCCGCGTAAGAGCGCGGAGTCGGGATGTCAAGTGCATCCGGGTCTCCCTCAGGGGTAAGCAGTTCGGACACGAGATGAGGTGAAGCAGCAGCCAAACACTGGAACTCCTACTGCCTGTCCTCAAGGACGTCCGTGCCAAGGGCACACTCACCCCCGATGGACGGAGGATAGACAGACTCAGACTCAGCGACAAGACTAGCAGCGTAGTCTAGACGACAGCGAGCAGCAAAGTTGACGAGCTCAGCAACTAGGGAAAACGCAGCAGTGGACTCAAAGGAAGGGTCAGTGATGAAAGTAGCAAGGAGACGCGTGACAGTAGGAATGGCAGCACGAAGAGAGTCCGACTCCAAGTCGGCAAGAACAAGAAGAGAGGACTCAGGAGGAGAAGGCAAAGGGGCACGCAGAGGAGCAGTGGACAAACGCAGAGACATCTTGTGCGTGCCAGGGACAGGAGGAGGACGCGGACGCGAACCATGACCACTAGCGCGAGCAGGACGGACAGGCGATGTAGGGCGAGACGCAGGCTCACGACGCTCAGCAAGACCTCCAGTAGGACCAGTGGAGGGAGAAGGAGAAGGCACTGGGGAGGCAGGCTGTTACTGTAACTGTGACGGGACAGGCTCTGGACACTCTAAGGGAGGAGGAGGACCAGTAGAAGGCGGAAGACCAAGAACGTGCTGAAGGAGCGGAACAAAGTACGGCCGAGGCCGCGCGGCGACTCTAGACACAGCATGGACAGCACCAGTACCCCCAGTGGTAGCACCAGGGCCAGCACCAACTCCAGCTGCACCACCCCCAGCAGCTCCAGTAGCTCCAGGACCTCCAGCAGCACGAGTAGCACCCCCAGCAGGACCGCCTCCAGGACCGACAGCAGTAGCCTCAGCGCCAACACCCTCAGCAGCTCCAGCTCCAGTCGTACCCGCAGGCCCAGCAGCTCCAGTACTCCCTGTTCGAGCACCTCCGGGACCCGTGACACCAGCACCCTCAGTAGATGAAGAACCTCGAGCTCCTGCAGCACGCCTCCAGCGCCGGGCAAACCACTCGCGCAGCTCCTGTGGAGAGAGTGGCTCCCGTCGAGACGAAGCATCCGGAGAACCTCCAGGCACAGTACCGCCAGACGCGACACGAGCAGGCCCAGCTCCCTCAAGCTCCGCACCCACAGGCTCAGCACCTCCAGGCGTAGCACCCCCAGACTCAGCACCCCCAATCGTAGCACCCCAAGGATCAGCACCCCCAGGCGTAGCACCCCCAGGCTCAGCACCCCCAGGCTCAGCACCCCCAGTCGTAGCACCCTCAGGCTCAGCACCCCCAGGCGTAGCACCCACACGCTCAGCACCCCCTGAGTCAGCACCCCCAGGCTCAGCACCCTCAGCAGCACCAGAGTCACCAGCAACCTTGACAGGCTCGACTGCGTCTACCTGGGACACACCTGAAGGGGCAGGACCCTGAGGGAGGAGGGGGTCTACCGGGGGGGGACCTGGCACAAGGAAGAGCGGTGGCAGGGGGAGGGACGGAGTGCGGTAGGGGAAGAGGCGGTAGAAATGGACCGACTCGTCAAACGTGACGTCCTGGGAGGACAGAACACGGCGAGAGGTGGGGTGGTAGAACTGCCACCCAGGCGCGTCAGGGGGGAAGCCAAGGAAGACGCAAGGAGTAGCACGAGGGGACAGCTTGTCCGCAGACAAGTCGCGGACAAACGCCCGAGATCCCCGGACACGGAACGAAGACGCATCGCCAACCTTCCCGTCCAAAGCAAAGCTGGGGAGGTCTTCGGCATGGAGACCCTGGGCTGAAGGTTGATCTGATGCGCCGCGTACCGAACCACAAACAACCACAGAAAATGGGGGGCAGCCGCATGCATCATGGACGTACGGGCAACGTCCATGACCATGCCAATGCGGCGCTCAACAATCCCATTTTGCCGTGGAGATTCCGAAAGCGTGAAGGTCTAGCGGATGCCTCGTGCACGATAGTAGGATCGCAGAAGGCCAGAGGAGAACTCTTCGCCTCTGTCAGAGCGCAGACGAAGAACAAGAATGTCCGAGCCAAAGCTCTGCCTGAGCTGGAGACGAGATGCGCGGAGCTAGTCGATCAACACCGAAGTGACATCACCCTTGCTCCGCAAGGGGAAGACTGTGGTGTAACGCGAGTAGTCGTCAACCACAAGCAGGAAGTAGCGCTCGTGACCCTGTCCACGGATCCGGGCTGGGCCCCACACGTCCATGTGAAGCGTCTGCAGCGGGGCCTCTATCAGAGGAAACTGGGAGGAGTGAGGGGCAGCATGCTGCCGCCCCTCGACGCAGGGGACGCAGGCAGGGGCAGGCCCCGGGGGAAGGGGAGGGAGGGACCGGGGAAGACCAGAGACAAGGACACGAGAGGCCATGCCTCGGAGACGAAGCAGGGAGGGGTGACCAAGGCGGTTGTGCTAGAGGAGAGTCTCGTGAGACAGGAGGCGACAAGAGCAGGGGGCAGACTTAGGACCAGACCTGGACGCTGCAACAAACACCTGACCTGACGCAGCTACCTGACCAGACGTAGTGACTGGAGGAGACTCAGTGGTCAGTGTGTACAGGCTCAACCCCGGCCGACGTGTAAACGTGGCCAGGTGTCGGCCTGTCCGAGCGTCCGTGCAGTGGGTCACCCGCTGACTCGCAGGAGTGAATTGGTGAACCCCCGCATCCTGTAGGTCAGCACCACTCACCAAGTTCGTAGAAAACGAGGGGAGGTAAAGACCAGATAGGGTGCCAGAGGGGGCCGCCGGACACGGGAGGACAGTGGAGAAGTGAGCAAGGACAGGACCCCCAGAGGGGTCTGCCAGAGAGACTGCAACTGGCCGACCAAGCGGCGTGAGTGTGGTGCGGTCTCGAAAGAAGGAGCGAGAAGCCCCCGAGTCAAGGGTGAAGGTGTGGGAGGCCGAAGCCGGCGCGGTACCTGAGAGAGCAAACTTACCAGCATTTGAGGAAGCAGACGCATTGGCACCTAGAGCAACAGCCTCGCTAGCACCTAGAGCAGCAGCTTCACCAGTACCTAGAGCAGCAGTCTCAATGCCCGGGTCGGGCGGAAAGCACCGGTAACAGTCACCCTCATCACTAATAGTCACAGCATACATGGCAGGAAGAATAGCATCAAAGTCAAGGTCAAAGATAGCTACTCCCACCCTAGACAGCTCGCCCCAGCGAGGGATCTCAATGGCCTCAGGGAACTGGTGACGCCAAGCGTCCGTCAGGCGGCCAAAGCAGCGCTGGGTGGAGTGCGCACCCCCGCACTGCTCACCCGCGCGGTCGCCGGTGCGTAGAACGTAGGTGCACGGACCAGTACCCTCACCCCGCTGGCGTGTAGTGTACCACTCACGGAGCTGCTGAGGGGGGGGGATGTCACGAGTGCGCTGCTGCTGCTGGCGCTGACCACCACCGAAGCCGACCCTCTGCGCAGCGCCACCCCGACCAGCTCCGCCTCTTCCGCCGCCGCCTCCTCCTCCGCCGCCACCTCCGCCACCTCCGCCACCTCCGCCCCCACCGCCACTGCCGCCTCCGCCTCCGCCTCCACTGCCGCCACCGACACCTCCACCCCCGCCACCACTCCCACCACCACCCCCACCCCCTCCATTGCCGCCACCGCCACCTCCGCCACCCCCTCCAGCCCCTCCAGCGCCCTGTCCCCCCTTGCCCTTGCCGGTGCGGCGTCTCCCGCTCGGGGCCGACGCAGCGCCGACCTACTCGAAACCAACGAGGTCGGCCGCAGCAGCAGAGGCAACAGAGGGCAAAAGAGGGGAGGGGGAACACCCCACAAAGACGGGGGTGCGAGGGTCACCACGAGAGGCTCCTACAGTGACTATGCTCTTCTCTGCCGCTAGGAGGGCCTTCTCGAGGAGGTCAATGGTGTGGGTGGTGGGGCAAACTAAGAGAAAGTGGTCCCTGACTACGCGGAGAGAGTCAGGGAGCCGGGTGACTATGTAGTAGAGGGTGATGTACATGGGGGGGGGGGGGGGGGGGGTTCTTGGCGCAGAACTCAGCAGGAAGCGTAGCGCGATAGTGAGAGTCACTAGTGCGGAGGTGCGTGATGAGGTCAGCGACTGTGGGAAAGGCAGCAAGGTCAGGGAAGAGGTATGGTAGCATGAGGCGGCTCAGTGCAAAAGTGGCAGGGGAGGAGTAGCGTGCAACTACAGCGTCGTACAAGGTCTGAGCACTCTTGTACTGGCTAAAGTGTGCACGCTCAGAGGTAGGCAGGTGGCGACGCACAGCAAGACGTGCAGCAGCATTGCGTGTGGCCCACTTTGAGCGAACAGTGGCGTCAGCATTAGCAGCAGGGGCAGGAGAGGCACCAGAAGTGAGGTCAAAGAGTGAGAGACCGTCTGCCCTATCCCAGTGTAGGAAAAGCTGCAGGTCATCTACCCAGACGTCAAAGTCAATGGCCCGACCCTTAGCGTCAAAAGCGAGGACACTAGGGGTAGCCATGACAGCAGTAGACTAGCAGCGCAAACAGTAGGGTAAGGGCTGTGCAGTGATAGAGGCGCTGCTCTTACCGGACAGGGCGGCTCGGGCGGCTTGGCGGCTCGGCGGCTCGGCAGCTCTGGCGGCTCGGGCAGCTCGGTGGCACGGCGGCTCGGGCGGCTCTGCCGGCTCGGGTGACTTGGCGGTACGGCGGCTTGGCAGCAACTGCAGCTCGGCGACTCGGCGGCTCTGGCGGCTCGGGCGGCTCGGCGATACGACGGCTCGGGCGGCTCAGGTGGCGCGGCGGCTTGAGCGGCTCGGGTGGCTCGGGCGGCTCGGCAGTAGCTCGGCGGCGCCGGCGGCTCGGTGGTGACGGCGAGGCCGCGTGGGGACGGCGGCGGGGCCGGTAGAGGCGGCGCCGGGGCCGGGAAGGGTAGCGCCGGGGCCGCAGGGTAGGTGCCGGGGCCGCAGGGTGGGCGACGGGGCCGCAGGGTAGGCGCTGGGGCCGGAGGGTAGGCGACGGGGCCGCAGGGTAGGTGCCGGGGCCGCAAGGTAGGCTTCGGGGCCGCAGGGTAGGCGTCGGAGCCGCAGGGTAGGCGCTGGGGCCGCAGGGTAGGCGCCGGGGCCGCAGGGTAGGCGACGGGGCCAGCAGAGGCGGCGCCGAGGCCGGGAAGGGCGGCGCCGGGGCCGGGAAGGGCGGCGGCGGGGCCGCAGGGGTAGGCGACGGGGCCGCTAGGGCGGCTAGGAGGGGGGTCGCGAGGGCGGCTTGAAGAGGCCGTGAGGGCGGCACGAAAGGGCCGCTAGGGCGGCGCGAACGGGCCGCGAGGGCGGCGCGACGCGATGGAGCTGCGAGGGCGGCGGATCGGGGCCGCGAGGGCGGCGCGACGCGGCCGCTAGGGCGGCTCGACGTGACGGGGCCGCGAGGGCGACGCGACGGGGCCGCAAGCGCGACGCGACGGGGCCGCTAAGGCGGCGCGACAGGGTCGAAAGAGGGGAGCGCGACTCGGGCAGAGTAGAGCGTGCTCCGGGTAGGAAAAAAGGTGGTGGGCCCTAGGAACAGTTCCCACAGGGGAACCTGCTCTGATACCATGAGAAAATGAACGAGGATGGATTGACTAAGGGAAAGTTGGGTACAAGTACAAACCCTAGAAAGTCGTACCCCATATGTGCTACCCCACTATAGCCTACAACAGCCATGTCATATAAATCTGACAATTGTAAGTCCACTCGAGCGCCGGGCCTCGTAACAGTGTCACTGCGAGCCGAATCCGCATTGCATCGTGTGTCGGGGTTGTACTGCCAACGGCCTTGAAGTGAATTTCGAGGGTCGCAATGAATCGACGGACGTCGGTGTCTCTAGAATTCGGATTAAATATCTCCGGTAGCCTCGGACGTACCGCCTCAAGATTCACTGTAGCCACTGCCGCTGCTGCTGGGTGAAGTGTCGGTGTCACTGTTGTTGCTGCAGACATTGCTGCTGCATTCCCCGCTGCGTTCACTGCTGACGTGGCGGCTACCGACTGGTTCGGGAGAAGCTCCTCTATTTGCTGGAGTCCTGCTCGCGTCTGGTCCAGGCCGGTGTGTAACTCCGTAATTTTCCGTACGGAATTATCACAATTTTCCTCCATTTGGCGATTTATAGGCAGATATGCAACGAAAATAATCGAACTCTAGGCACTGGTCATCATACTGTGAGTCGAGTTGAATGCAGAAATAACGAGCACTGATTCTGAAGGTCGCGTAATTCTCCCTTACTTGAAATTCCCGTCCGATCTCGGCCGTTGAGAAGAAATTCGATCCGACGCTTCAAATTCCAACCATTTTAGGCGAAATTCTCAGGGCCGTTGAGATTCGAGTCGATCTGACGGTCGAAATTCCAACTTTTTCGTCAATGGACCTGAGGAGTGTTCGAAAACCGGTTTGAGGGGGACGTTAGAAAATAACGCAGAACTGGTTTTACGTACCCGAAATCGGCGCTTTCCATCGTCGCCCCCGCGGTTTTAAAAGCTAGGTTTTAGCGGTCGAAAAAATTCACTTGCAAACAGGCTCTGATTACCAAGTGTGAGGATCTAGGATCGAGCTCAGAAAAGAGACTTTGAATTGAATTAAATGATCACCTGGACACAACACATGGCTATATATAGGCTCGACACAAGGCCCAGTAACCAGGTGTTACGCGAAGGTTCCGCGGGTCGCGAAGCGTCTCGAACAGATCTTTCCCGAACTCGGTAGAAGGCAATTCGGTGGCAACCGAAAAGCCAGAATTCGGTGCACGCAACCTAGCTTGGTGTTATAGCTATAATAAAATATAGGAAAGCACCTAGCCTAGGAAATCAAGCAATTCATGCATGCATATAATTATCCTATGCTAGAAATAGCTGTCAAACACTATATGTGTTATTATTGTGTAGGCTATAGTGGGTTAGCCTTTAGGGGGTACACAAAGTTAGGGTTTCCTACTTGTACTCCAACTTTCGTAACATGGAATCAGAGCAGGTCCTCCGCTAGGACTGACTCTTAGGGCCCACCACTACTGCTGCTTACTAGCGCCCTCGTGCGCCCCACTGTAGGAGGCCCCGAGCGCGCCCACCCCTTAACGGCCCCGTCAACCTCACGTGCCGCCCCTTAGCGGCCCTGCTGGCCCCGTCGACCCCGCGCGCCGCCCCCCTTAGAGGCTCCACTAGGCCCCGTTGACCCCACGCGCCGCCCCTTAGCGGCCCCCGCTGGCCCCGTCGACCCCGCGCGCGAACCTTCTAGAGGCCCCGTCGGCCCCGTTTGCCCCATGCGCCCACCCCTTAGCGGCCCCGTCGACCCGCTCTTGACCCCCGCGCCGCCCCTTAGCACCCCGCTGCGACACCCACGGCCCCGCCAGAACGAGCCGCCTGAAATGAGCAGCCCGAACCGAGCCGCCCAACCCAAACCGAGCCGCCCGAACCGAGAAACCCAGCCCGAACCGAGCCGCGCCGCCCGAACCGAGAAACCCAGCCCGAACCGAGCCGCGCCGCCCGAACCTAGCCGCGCCACCCTACCCGAGCTGCGCCGCCCTACCTGAACCGAGCCGCGCAGCCCGTACCGGGCCGAGCCGCCCTACCTGAGTCGCACTGCCTACTGTTTGAGGGTGCACCTACTGCTTCTCCTACTACTGCTATGGCTAGCCCTCCTATGCTAGCTTTCGATGCTGAGGGCCGCCCAGTGAAGTTCGAAACCTGGCTAGATGACCTACACCTCTTCCTACAGCTCACTGCCAAGGAGGACATCTCACTGTAGGATCACGCCCTAGGCCATGCTACTCCTCCTGCTGCTACTGCTGACAGCACTGCTCGCTCACAGTGGCAGACTCGTGACGCCCACGCTCGCTTCGCTATTCGCAACTCCCTGCCGATAGATGAGCGCGAGCACTTTGGCCAGCACAAGACTGCACAGGCACTGTACACCGCTGTCGTTGCCCGCTACTCCTCACCGCCTCTGCCGCTCTAGGCCATCTATCACTCCCCTACTTGTTTCCCGACCTGGCCTCGTTCCACACAGTCGCTGACCTTATGACGCACCTCCGTACTAGTGAGGCCCGCTTCCGTGCCGCCATGCCCGACGAGTTCCTTGCCAAGAACCCTCCCCCGCTCTGGCTCAATCTCTACCACCTAGTCACCCGCCTCCCTGACACTCTGCGTGCTGTCAGGGATCACTTCCTAGCTCGCTGCCCCACTGAGCTCACCATTGCCTTCCTCGAGAAGGAACTGCTTGCAGCTGAGGCTAGCATAGTCGCTGTAGGTGCCTCTCGTGGCGACCCCCGCACCCCTTTCTTTGAGGGGTGTTCCCCTTCCCCTCTTCTTCCCTCTGTAGCCTCTGCTTCTACTGTCGACCTCCTTGGTTCTGAGAAGGTCGGGGCTGCGTCTGCTTTGAGCGGGCGCCGCAGCGGCAAGGGCAAAGGGGGCAAGGGAGGCGGAGGTGACGGCGGGGGAGGCGGTGGTGGGGGTGGTGGCGGCAGTGGGGGTGGTGGTGGGGCTGGGGGGGCCAGTGGCAGCGGTGGGGGGGGTGGCGGCAGCGGCGGGGGAGGTGGCAGGGGCGGGGGCGGTGGTGGGTGCGGTGGTGGGCGCGGTGGCGGCAGGGGAGGAGGTGGTCGAGGAGGTGGCGGCGACGGCGGTGGTCTTGGAGGCACTGGCGGTGGCCAGAGCCTGCAGCACTCTCCGTCGCCCCAGGAGCTCCGTGAGTGGTACGCTCAGCACGGGGGGGGGTGGCCGTAGATGCACGTACGTCATCCGCACTGGTGACCGCATTGGTCAGACGTGTGGGAGGGCGCACCCCATGCAGCGCTGCTTCTCACGCCTCGACGGCGCTTGTCGTACTCAGTTCCCTGACGCTAGTGAGCTGCCCCACTGGGCAGATCTAATGAAGCGAAACATTTATATCTTTGTTCTAAACTTTGATGCTATTCTCTCTGCCATGTATGTGATGTATATTAGTGGAGAGGGTGCCCAGTACCTGCGTGTTCCGCCCGACCCGGGCATTAGACCCGGTGAGGCTGCCGCTCTAGGTGCTAGAGTGTCTGCTACCCGAGGTGCTGGGGACGCTGCTGCTCTAGGTGCTGGTGCGTCTGCCCCCCCTGGTACTGAGTCGACTGCAGCACTGCACACCTTTACACTAGACTCAGGTGCCTCCCGCTGTTTCTTTCGTGACCGCACGGCTCTTGAGCAGCTTGCTCGGCCCGTTGCTGTCTCTCTCGCTGACCCCTCTGGGGGTCCAGTCCTTGCGACCTCCTACACTGTCCTCCCCTGTCCGGCCGTCCTGTTGGGCACACTGTTCCGTCTCTACCTCCCCTCGTTCTCTACAAACTTGGTGGCGGGTAGTGCGCTCCAGGACGGGGGTGTCCACCAGTTCACCCTTGCCTACGAGCGCGTGACACACTGCACGTGTGCTCGGACGGGCCGTCACCTGGCGACCTTCACTCAGCAGCCGGGGTCGGACCTGTACACACTGACCGCTGAGTCCCCTCAGGTAGCTGCGTCTGCGTCTGCGTCAGGTCAGTT